GCCTAAAATCGAAAAAAAGTTTATAGGAATCGACCAATCGAGCGAGCGAGCGAGCGAGTGCCATTCTCCACACCATATCTACAACTCGCTCTTGCGCATGCGCGCAATTTACGAGTTAAAAATAATTGGAAGTCCGGGAGTGAGGCGCCCGAGACGTATTATTCGTGTGCCTCACCCCTAGAGTTCCGCGCTAAAATCAATTTTTTCCTTGATTTTTTTTAATTCACGCGACGAATTCGCCGAAAAGGGAATGCTTGATGTCTTCATCTACCATGTCTCTTTTTTCCCTTTCGCTCTTAAGGCTTTATCTTCTACACTGATACGATAATGACATTAAACTTTTAAGATAACATTCAATCTTTAAAAGGAACATCAATTGAAAGGTCAAACGCAAGAGACTCGCAGAGCTAACAACATCCTTTATAGTTTGTTCGTTCAACTTCCACTGATATTAAGCCTCCGTGATGCGTAGGTCCTCACAAATGTGTTGGAAATGCAAATTTTGTAAATTGAAACTGTCAGATTACGCGATTTACTTAAGTTATCAAATAATAAAGATTACAATTCTTTTCCATGTTGAACATAAAAGGATATCGCCTTACCCTGACAGACTGTCGACAGAAAGGAAACTGTGAAGTCAATTCTTGAGTAAACTTTGACTCTGTCAAGTCATGCATGAACTTAATTTATGCGTTTGAGCGCTCATGCCAGCTGTAAGTGGGCGAGTACTAACTGCGATGGTTAAAAATAAGTTGGTTAAACGTGACTGCTCTCTCAGTTCTAATCTCGGTCTAAGCTTTTTATGACTTCAATGGAGCTTTTCAATGGATATTTTCAGATTTCAAGGTACATTCAACACAACACTTAAGCTTCCTCTTAAAGGGAGAATTGAGTTTGAATTTGGGGTTCTTTTGATCGCTCAGGACAACCAGTAAGCAATATAAGAGTCGACACAAATTTTCTTGATTCGATGAACAACACAGCTCTCAACGCGACAAGTTTCCCTCTGTGTCCAAGTCTACTGATGAAGGTTACAAGCACTCCTTACACTCCAAGTGCTACAGCTCAGACTGTAACCATACTAACATGTATTGTAAACGGAATTTCATGTCCTGTGGCGATTGGAGAGAATCTTCTGGTCTTCATGGTGATTTTAAAAAAACGCAGTTTACGAACAACTTTTAATACTTCTGTTCTTTGTCTGGCAGTTACGGATCTTCTAATTGCCATGTTTATTCAGCCTGCCTTCATTGCGTATCAGATCGGAAAGTTTATAAACAGTACTTACCTGTGTGTTCCTTACTTTATAAAGACCGTGTTCGAGTTTTGGTGTGTTGGTTTATCGTTCATTACTCTTGGGCTCATAACTTTAGAGAGATACTTTGCCGTGTTTCGGCCGTTCATTTATCACGCCGCCGTCACGCAGTTCCGCGTAATGCTTGTAATTTTCAGCGGTTGGTTGTTTTGGTCTGCGTTCAGCTTCAGTCTACGTTTTTCAGCTTCTGGAATGAACTTGAAAGCTTATTCAATTGCATCTTCCATTTTAATTACATTCACACTGTTCCAAACAATATTTGTCTATTTTAAACTCTACAAGGCTTCTCGAATCAAAGACCATTCGCACAGTCAAGCCAGCCAAAACAGTAGCTACCCCAACAGACCGAGATCTTTAGGGGTCGCTGAGGCTAAAGCAACCAAAACAATTATAATCATAACAGGATCATTTTTTCTTTGTTTCGCGCCAACTCTGTGTGTTTCCTTAGTGCACCAACTTGCTTACGTAAGAGAAGACGTCATATTACACGTGGTTTATCCGCTGGCAGAGAGTGCGCTGTTTCTAACAGCCCTTGTCAACCCTGTCATTTATGTGTGGCGAAATGCTTTGGTAAAAGAGAGCTTAAAAGAGCTTTTCAAGGCTCATTAATAATTATTCTTTAAGCAGAAGTATTTTTTCTACAGGCATTTAGAGAACAAAGGAACAATTCTCTAGTCAATGGTTATGATATTTGACCGTCTGAAATAGTGTTGAAGTCTCTTAACTAGAGGCACCAGATCACCATGAAAATATGCTGACCGTCTTTTCCTCTTAATATTTCACTTGTGAGAACATATTGAAACCTGTAAGCAACAGGAATAATATTCGATCATGACTTTGATTGAAATAAACTATTAAATCATTCGCCTAAATTTTATCAACATCCAAGCATAAATGTGTACACTGAAGACTGCAGATAAAAATATAAAATCTGCAATTTTAACAGAAATAAGATATAGTTTCTCAGTTACTCTTTACTACTTCAGCTTCTCCTTCTTAGATATGAAAAAGATTCACTTTTAAAGCAAGAAAATTATTAGACAAATAGATCATGATGTAGCCATCGTGAATGTGTGCTGCGTGTGTTGAGCACCACGGTATGAAAGTGGGTTTTGCCTCATTCGTTCATAAGCGGTAATTCTTCATTATCGCATAGTTTCTCAGTATCTCTAGTCCCTCTGATGAATCTCCTCTAGGCTGTCAGTTATTGAAGACGTTGGCCCCTGCCTCTTAGACTTTCTAGATCTTACGAAGGAATTCTGCACCACTACAGATTAAACTGTCGGAGGAAGGAGCAATGAATACAACTGAAGTAAACCCTTATGTTACCTTCTTGAAACGAGGTGTATTTAGCCTGTTTCAAGCGTTCATTCAGTAAAACGAAGCGAAATTTTGAACAGTGCAAAAATAGCGGCAGAACTCCGGGGAAGTGGGGGAGGTTTCGTTCGAGTCTCTGACACCAAACTTCCCTCGGTTTTTCACTCCTCTGCTACTGGAAGAAGCTATGGTATATTCGTTGCAATGAACAGCAAAGCTCTCAATGCGCCGGATGAGCTTCCGGCTTGCTGTGCAGGTCTAAGAACAAAGCGCTCCTTACAATCCAAACACTATTGTATGACCAGGCTTCCCTTAGAAACTTATAATGGCAGATGGGCTTTAAGTTGATGATTTCTATGGAGTACATCGCATCTCCTTCACTAGATTACCGCCTGAACCCTAGCTGTTGTTCGAAGAGCGGATATGGCCGGCTATTCAACAGATAAGTGTTAACAAAACGAATTGCGTTGCCCACCGGGCGGAGATTTATCCCCCGCAGGGTTATCCACCCTTCAATCAACCGGGGCTTGATCATCGTTGACAATAATCTTTACGACAATAGATTTTTAAAGATATTGCTTTTGTAGAACCTTAAAAAAAATATATTTGTTGACCAAAGTTTAATATGTTACATGAAAAAGTTTCTTTTAAAAAACTTGCTCAGAATGATTTATTGAATTTTTTATTACCGCGGCAAATCTCTTTTCTCAAAGCTATTACACTAATGAGTTTCCATTTATGTAAATATCATTTTTTGTTGACATGTTTTGTCCTCGAAAACCCGCGGCAAACAGAAGGCCGTCTAATTGCACTTACTTAAAAAAGGCAACAAAGACTTTTCAAAAAGGGGGTTGCGAAGGCATCGGCTTTTCATTCCCTCTGGTTAAATATGTAAAGTTTTTTATCGGTTTTAAGATGTCCAATTATTTCCAAGCTGGTGGTGATGAAATTTAGGCCAATGTATCGATGTGCTGACATATTAGAAAAACTAAGGAGATTAAATCCAAACAAAAAGCTGAATTATTGCTGATAATTATAACCGTTGCGCTAAAATTGGTCACTAAAATGCCACCGTCGCAAAACTTATTTCTCGACGAACTAAAAATTTAAGCAGTGCAGATTGTTGCCAGTGATTTACGAGCTTGTCAAATTAAACATTTTATATTCCTAAAATTAAAATCCTGTTTGTCAATCAGAGGCTATATACAGTCAGCTAACACCTATGTAATTACTACCTTTTGTCTTCTCTGAATATTGACTGCTATTGGATTCGTTCTTACCATAAGCAAACAAATGAATGATCATAAAACGTAAAATGTTGTACCAAAATTCGTCACTTAACTCTAGTATGGAGAATGCCAGTGAAAAGTTCTGCCCACAGATAGGAGACTCGATAACGGTCCCGTACCAGGCAACAGACGCAATTCAGAGGGCGACGCTATTCGCGATCATTATAAACTGTTTAATGTGGCCAACGGGATGTGTTGCCAATTGCTTTGTGTTCATCACAGTTTTAAGGAAGCCACAATTACGAACGGTATACAACACATCTGTACTGTGTCTCATCGCCGCAGATTTGTGCGTCATTCTGTTGGCACAAACTTCCAACATTGTTTACTTGGTAAACAAGTTTACCACTGGCGACTACTCGTGTTCTCTCTTCTTTATTTACAACTTGTTTACCTGGCTGTGCCACGGATTGTCTTTCTTCACCTTGTTGTTTATAAGCATTGAACGCTACTTCGCTGTTTTTCATCCGTTTTGGTACAAAGAATCGGTGACTAAAACCCGTATATTCTGTGCCATTGTAACCACTTGGATCATCTGCGGGGCATTAGTCATAATTCTCAATTTTATGCCGAGCATCCCTCACTCAGTTAGAACTGTCGTGATGACATGTCTTTTCCTGCCAAGCATCTTATCAACTGTGGTTATTTACCTCAAGATATTTAGTGAAATTCGGGGTAATACCACACAAGTCGGCCCTCCCGTTCATGGGTCTCCGGCCGAAACCCAGGTCCGCAAGTCGTCCAAAACTGTGGGTGTTATAATAGGGGTACAAATTATGAGCTTTTTTCCATGCATCTGTTTGAACATTGTGCAGATGTTGTCACTTGTGCCTAGCGTTCTTTTAATCCATGGTATCTTCCCATTTGCTGAGGCCGCAGCATTCATGAACGCAGTTCTGGATCCTATGATTTACTTTTGGCGAAACAAAGAAGCGCGCGGTAGTCTAGGGGAACTGAGACACATCAATATCTGCATGAAGTCCAAGACTGATGTGAGTCTTTCACAAACGGAGAATTCTACTGTTGTTATACAGCTTAAGGACTACGGAAGTGGTTAGTGGTGGAGTGCCGGTAGATCAGGGATGAGAGAGCGCGGCTGCTGACGCACTGTCCAGGTTCATTTCTCAGACTAGCTGGCGACTTTAGCACTCGTAAAATCAACGATAAAAGGCTAAGATTCTTGACGGCGGATTTTTTTTCTTTGTTGCTAATCTTTGTTTAAACAAAGAATTTATCTGCCTATCCAAACCTGAACAGTAGTGCTGCTAGTTCAGACACTAATGAGATTCTCAGAACGTTGAGGAGTAAAATAATTTTATAGATCTCTGTGGTTGTAAAAACAAAAGCTTTATGTGGTATGGCATATATCAAATTTTGGAATCACTTACGTACATCAAACAGTATATCAAGTAATAACGTAACTGTAGTGTTAGACTAGAAATATTGTATGTAATAGCAGTAGTGCTTGAACCTCTCTGTTGATGCTCTCTGCTTACGAATTTACCCACACATACAAACATAACTGACTTGCTGTTGTGAATAAAGCTTTAACTCGCAACCGTTGGGGTCATTTTGAGAAGAAAAGTAACAAACTTAAAAATAATTGAGTGAATTACAGTTATACTTTTATCAACATAGTCTTTGAATTTTCTCGTGATTCTTGCCTACCCGCCTCCCTGCATCAGCATTAAACCAAAACAAAACAAAAAAACACCAAGAGCGCGTGAAAATGTGTAATGCCACCTGAACAGGAAGTTTACGGTGCGCGTGAAGAATGAACGAAGTAGCTATCGATAGTGTAATGCCGTTATGTTGAAGCCACCAAAATTAAACTTAATCTGCTGATATAAGTCTCAATTGAAAAGGTCTCCATAAAGTCTTGGCATAAGCCTTCAGAAAGTCAATGCAACGCTCTGAAAGAAAGGAAATCGAACAAGACTGAACTGAAAACACTGATTCCTCCGCAGATGCTAAAGGATTTCGGTTTCAGTGTATAAACGAAAACGACTCTTTTTATCAAGTGATCAAAACACTGAAACCAGAACACAGAGTAACCTCCGTTGTTTATTTGCTTAGAATGATTTCATTTTAAAAGTTGAATAACAAAGCAAGTTTGTTATGATTCGAAGAAATCGTCTGTTTCCGTTTTTAATTATCACGCTGCGTGTGACCATTATTAAATGGCCTTTTTTATCCGGCATGTTATGGTTACATCCGGGTAGTAAGCTTTGTCAGTTTCCTTTTTCCAAACGGAAGAAGTGTGCGCTCCTAATTGTTGTTCTCCCATACCGTATGGGCCGTATTTTTTTTGCGTGTCGCCCGCTTAGCCGCAAGGAAATGGAAAAGATTGCTATGGGGGACATCAGATGGTAAAACAACATTAGAGATTAAAAACTGACAGTGTAATGTCACAGCGTTCATTTTACAGAATAACAAAAATACTAATTCAGATAACATAGATGAGCCGCGTTCTTTGACCAAATATTGGCTGTAAACGTAACATGAATGCACATCCTGCTGTATACATTAATGCTGCTATTATTATCTTGTGACCTCTTCTTTCAAGTTTTCAGTTTGTGCTTCTCGTATGTGAGAGATTATTCAGCGTTAATTGATTTCCGGTTGATTTTTTTGCGATAAG